CGGCGGCGGCGGCTGTCAGCTCGCGCGGCTCCTCCTGCTCCTGCTCAGGCTCCCGCGGCCGCTGCTCTTCCTCCTCCTCCTCCTCCCGCGCCCGCCTCCACCACGCCGCGGGATCCCACCTGTTAGAGCGTCGCAGCCTTAGCCGCGGTCCCCCCTCCCGTGCTCGCCCGTGGGGCCCAGCCCCCGCCCGGGCCCGGCCCCTGGGGGCGCGGGGGCTGCCGCGCCCGCAGCCGCGGGGAGGGCAGGCGCTGCAGGCGCGCGGTGCTCAGCGCAGGGACCGAGTTTCCTCCGGCCGGGCCTGGCCCGAGCCTCGCAGGCCGCGCTCGGTCCGGACCTAGCGGTTTCGCAGGGAGTAGGACACAGACCCCGCCCGACCACCAGCGTCCCTGCCTCGCGGGACGGCCCCACCCGATTTTAGCCCGGCGCAGGCGGTACTGGGCAGGGCCCATTCCCTCCTGTCAACTGGCCTGACCTCTCTGGCACGATCCCAGAGCCAGAAGGGCAGTGTTCCCCTGGGGAACCCCAAACCGTCTCCCTTAGGGGCCCCCAACTTCCTCCCCTCAGCCTCACCCCAAATTCCCTGAAGTTTGGCCGACCTTGTTTCTGCCAGCCCCACTGCTCTGAGACAGCCCCAGGGAAATCGCCAACATTAGCCCGTGGCCTGACTCAGGCCAACCCCACCAAGGCTTCAGGCAACGCTCAACACACTCACAAAGTCAGCCTGAGATACCCTGTCTTCCGGGGTGTATGCCTTGGCCTAGATTCATCTCTTGCTGAGTTCAACTCAGATGGCCCACCAGCCCCCTCCTCCCTGGGCAGGGTTGAGCTTTGGGGTAGAGCCAGCTCCCTCCCCCTTAATGAAATTACTAACATAAATAAAGGCACAGACCAATTCCCCAGAATTTCTGCCCTCTTTTCTTAACAGGTCGTGAGGAACGGCTGTGCTTCTCTTCCTGCCATTCCCTGGGGTCCAGCCCACACATCCCCAGGCCTCTCCTGTAGGCAAGTCACCACTCAAGCCTGAAACTCGGATTTTAGCCAGGGCAAGACCATTTTCTTCCTGCCTAAGAACTACTGGCTACCCCCATCCCAAGGTCCCCCACCCTGGTACCTATATTGTGCCATGTCCTGGCAACTCTTGAGAGGTAGGGGGGACTGGTTCATTTTATAAATAAAGGCCTGGGGCTTGGAGAGGTGACCTGACCTGTTCAAGGTCACTCAGGGAGGAGGGGAAGGTTTCTGCTAGGGCTATCTGGCTCTTGCTACCACATCACACAAGAAGTCTCTCCCTGCCATCCTGCTGGGAGGGATCCCCACACTGTATGTGCCCGGCTCCCTACCACCAGTAGACAGGGGGTTCAGGGCCCATGTCTGACTCATCCCTATACCCCAGGCCTTAGCACAGCACCTGGTACACAGTAGGTGCTAATAAATGCATAAAGAACCCAAGAGGTCGTTTAAGCCCCGACTTCTCTCTGCATTTCACATAGACTTATTTTTAGATAATTTACATTTCCATGTTACTTTATATACACCAACAACTCCACAGTCATTTTTCCTCTTTATCTTCCTAAGAGCTCTTTTTGGTTCTATGCTAGCATGCCCATTTTTCAGAGATGACCACTGGGGCTCAGAGAAAGGAAGGCACTACCCAAACGCCACCTAGGTCCAGGGGTGCAGGGGCTCCTGCATGATTAGGAAGACCATGGCCTGACTTTTCCAATATACCCCTTGACACCCCCACAGCTGTCTCCCTTTCTGAGAACAAAGTTGCTCTAGCCCAGCAATGCTAATGATCACTTTCAACAAGGGTGCCCTTGTGCCTAGGTGGTGGGGCCCCCATTTAAGCCCAGGTCTCTCTGTCTCGTTTCAAGACCCACTTCAATAACCACTAAGCCAGACTACCTTTCCATGCAATCTGGGTCTTAGCCAGCTTTTCAGAATCTAAAAACCTGGTTGTCGATCTTGGGCTGAGTTCTAGTGTGGCAGAAGGTGTGGTGTAGTGAAAAGAGCATAGGCTTTGGGTAGAGTCAAACAGATTTGAGGTTAAATCCCAACTATTTGCTATAGCATTCTTCGTGCTCATTGGCTGCCTCTGAACTGAATGAACCCATCAGTCTACCCTTTTTGCTGGGTGACCTCAGGCAGGTCAGTGATCCCCAACTTCATCATCTGTACAATGGACAGAGTGTTATGAATGTAAAGGCTCAGCAGAATAAAATATATGAGAGAGCCTAGCATATAACAGGTGCCCAGTAAATGCCATTTTCTCCTTCATAGAGGCTACAAAGTATTCAAGGAAGAAGATGAACACTGTTGATACTTTTCATGTTTCATTCGTTCAACAAATGTTTCTTGAGCAGTCATGATGTTCCAGGTGCTGGGGATATAGCCATGGGATCTCCAAGGTCCTTACCTTCTTGGAGCTCACTGATGGGTGGGGAAGAAAGCCACTGAATATACCAACTATCAATAATTACAGTTTGGGGAAAGGGCCATGATGGAAATGGGGAGCTGTGAAAGCAAATAGTGGACAGGAGGGACTGCTTTTCTTAGGGGAATCAGGAAAGACCCCTTTGAGGAGGTAGATTTGAGAGTTACTTAAACGGAAAGGAACCAGCTATGCGGTGTTCTAAGGGAAGAGAGCACTGCAGGCAGAAGGTACAAAGACCCTGAAAGAGATTGGCATATTTCAAAAGCTGAAAGGAGGCCAGTGTGACTAGAGTGAGGTGAATGAGGAGGGGTTGGAAGGCAGGAGACCATGGGAAAAACTTTGGATTGCATTCTAGATGTGATGGGAAGCCACTGGTGAGTTTTAAACAGGGGATAGACCTGAGGAGTAGAGGGCAGCTGCAGTAGCCCAGGGATCTGTAATCAAGAGGCTTAGAGGTCAGAGGCCTTGGTTTCTCCTCCCATGTGTCAGCTCTCAGCCTCTTGCCCCAAGTAGAGGTGGCTGAGCCAAGAAATGAGAATGGCCTGCTGTGGCCCATCCCTGCTTCTGTGGAAACAGATTCCTGGACCTCCGGCCTATTCATGTCAATGACGTCCTTTAACAGGGTCCTGCCCCCAAGTATGCTGGGTGGGAAGTAAATTTCTCGCAATACCCAGCTTGGGGGTGGGGTGGGCAATCATGATCCTGTGGGGCAACTGTTCCTTCTTTCTTCCCATTCCGGATACCTACCAAAAGAACAGAGTAGGCTGCCCCATTAATCATAGGTCAGTGAAGCCCCTGGATGTCCAAGCGAGGCTGGGATTGAAGCACAGGGAGTCTAGACCACCAGGACTTGTATCCACTTCCAATACTAACAGTAATATACTGGGTCACAAGAGGTAAGCGATGAAGAGTCTGCAGAGAGTGTACAGTCGAAACTGCCTGTTATAGGTGGGTAAACTGAGTCCCAGAGAAGGGAAGAGGCTCGGGGCCACAGGCAGCATGGGGCACCAAGCCTTTACCTGGTTCTGCCCAAATCACCTGCTTTTTACTGAGCTCTGACTTTGGGTCGAGATGAATAGGAATGTCTACAACTCAAAGGTGGAGTGGCCCCAGCCTGGCCTGGGGTGGGGCAGAGACCCAGGCCTGGGGAAGGGCAAAGTGACTCAGGCCCCACAGTCCAACAAGTCTGGGAGGAGGCCCCAGAGCCTTGGGGAGGAGTGGTTTCCACTGCTAGACACTGGTGCCACCTCCAAGGGCTTATGCCATTGCCAACCCCCATTTCAAAGCATCTACTCCTGCAGTCTGCCTGGGCACATCAACCAGCTGCTCCAGGTCCACCTCACCCTTCAGTTTGGTTCAGGGGCTTCGGTGGTTATTCACAGACCCCTGGGCCTTTCCCATTCCAGCTCTCACCACACCACATCATGATTGCCTGGTTGGTTGTATCTACCAATGCCCAGCACGGGGGCTGAGGTTTAATAATTATTGAGTAAATGAGCGAATAAATGAATGGATAAATGAGCTGGTTCTCAAAATGCACATCTCAGACTGAAGTCTACAGCATTTTCCACCACACTTCTCTACCCACCCCACCCCCCAATCAATCAGTCAATCAATTTAGTGTGCTCTTCCCAACAGGCTCTGCCATTGAGTGACGTTAGATGAGAGCCTTGATTTCTCTAAGTCTCAGTTTTCAATGCCCGTAAAATGGGGATAACAATTTTTCCTAACTCACTGGGCTGAGAATAAGCACTCAACAAAGGTTAACTTCTATTATCACTCTGTCCACCTGCCATTTATTCTGACGTTTGTTTGAATATCCTCTGTGTGTCAGATGTCATGCCTGGTGTTGGGAATACAGCTCTAAACAAGATGAACCTGGCCCCAGCCCTTGTGAAGCTCAGGGACTAGCTGACTTAAAAACAAATTGTGACAAAAAGGTTGAGAATTGGAAAACAAAAAAGGTGCTGTGAGAACATATGGGGGCTTAGATGAGCATCTCTGAGAAGCCCTACGCTAAGGGTTTCTTGGATGGAGGCACTCAGGGCAAACAAGGGAAAAGAGAAAAATGTCTCTGCACCTACAGTGGCCCATGCCATGGTGCCTGTGGAATCACAACTGAGTGGGAAAACATCCTGCCCACCTCACAGAGTTTGAGAATCCCTTGAGTCCAGCATCTCCCTTTTCCAGAAACT